TATGACAATGTCCTATAACTGATGTTATCGCATCTTGAATTTGGGTAGATCAGGTCCATGGCTTACTTTTGTAGTTTTTTGGAAAGAATGGAGTCTATAATTTTTACCTTATAACCGTTATTAACCACGATTTGTTTAATCAAACTCAACTCTCTCTGGAAGTTATTCTCAGACAGTGAAATATTCAATAGTTTGTGAAGCATAATATTGAATGCAGCAACTTTATGCTGATAAGGGTGTGTGGAGAAGTTATGTATGATAATGTCCGTGTTTGTGAAAAATTGCTAATTCATGTTTATTGTTATTTTTCGTAATGGTTAAGTCAAGGTAATTTATTGAATTATTTATCTCCTTTCAGTGGTGAATTTTTTTGACGGGTGGATGGAATTAAGACTAAAATATCATCTACTACAGAAGAAATGCCTCAATATGTTACCTACTAAAACCAAAATTCTTTATTTATTTATTCTGTTGTTATATTTCACATTATTTCATTTGATACGAGTTTTGAAAGAGGTCTTCTGTTCTTTCTTTCTTATAGTTGATTCGAATGAACATTATCAAATCATTAGATAACTCGTGTCAATTTACAGGAGGCATTCGTGTTTATTTATTTTTACAGCAATCATAAAGGAATCTAATCTATTCAGGGAACGTCAACTGTGACTATTTCCTTTAATGCAGTATTTACTTGTTTTATTGATTTATCACTGTGAAGTTTCACTTGACTGGTCAACCACTTCGAATATTAAAAAAAGTAAAAATAAACAAATTGACTCCACTCATTCGTGTAACGATTTCATTAATACTTATTCTGAGTGATTGCTTATTTTGGATAGCATAAAGAGTCGTACTATTATTTCTGTTGAAATGATTAGTGAACCTCTATAAAATACTCTTGGAAGAAAACAATTCATATTTAATGAAAAACAAAATGTTAAAAAAGTACTTTGAAGAAGGTTTGTTATCTCTTTTTTTTCAATTTATTGTGGTACCTGAATATCGAGAAATGACTTTTTTCACTTTCAATTTCAAATTTGTGCAATTGTCGTGTACCACCGTATGTTTTTTCTCGGAATAATTTCACAATGACCAGCAGGTGAGCTCAGCAAAGAATATAAAGACAATAAGGGTAAGAGTAGATAAGATTGAACTTGCTGATTATTGTAAGAATCTTGGACTGATTACGGGCATACAGTTGTTGAGTCATGGCCTGTGAGAAGCCCCTCCCTCAAGATGTGCAGTAGATGTGTAGAAATCTGTTATGAATCTGTTAGATTATTCGAGCCGTAGTAAGTAAAATTGCCAAGAAAATGACTCATTTTTTCCTAATACTTTCTTTGTCATATACCGAACCATACGCACCGACTTAAACACCATATCATCCAAAAATTGAAAAATGCATATATATCATTGAAACGCATTTAGTTTTTGAACTATATATTGAAAATCCAATTATGTGATAGGTTGTTCTCTCGCATTTCATTGTGACGTAGTCTGTGAAGCATGTATTGATAGTTCTGATACAAAAAGAGTTAGGTTAGGTTAAGTCTAAAGTGAGTGGTTCTATTCGACCCTCCACTGCAACCCACAAGGGTTTATTGTGGCTCACACCTATTCACACTCGATCAAATAAACCCAGCTTCTTAACGAAGCCGATTAGTTTGTTTGGTGAGTGGTGTTTTAGGTCAAATGGTACGGCTCTGCCGAACTCTAAGAACCTGATTCGGTCCCCAGCGGGGCAGGCACAAAGTATGTGCTCTGTTGTTCCATCATTTTCCAAATAGAGGCCAAACTTTTTTCGTCGCTTTGTCTGTCTGTCTAAACGCGATAAAGGCGAAAACTATCATATGGATTTTCATAGTTTCCACTGATGGACATACTGATTCAAAAAAAAGGTTTCTGTATTGTGAATTGGTTGAAATATAACGCTGTTTACCGTGCGAAGTCAGGGCGGAAGTATTACCATGCAAAGCAGGAAGGTTTCATGTAAAAAGTTGACTTATATCTTTGAGATATAACAAATTCACAACATATTGTTCTTCTTTTATAATGTGGTAAGTAGAAAGCTATTTAGACGGACCCGATATTGATCTTTATCAAACTAAATATGCTAGCTACTTTAATAATTTTATGCAGGTTATAATTGCCCTTTACGCAATACAGTAAATTAGAAATATTACGCAACGAAATAAATTCAAGCGGTCTCACACGGGGTCTGTGATAAAAATGAGGTGAATATTCAAATTTCGATATTCAAATTAGCGATTTTTCATTTTTGTATGTTGGTACACTCGTCTCGAACATTTGTTTACAATTTCAGCTTTTTATCATAAAAGTTAGAAGTGTTTTGGCGTGTTTGCATCAAATTTTGTCTAGAAAATGGAATTGAGGGCTCAACAACACTTGAAATGTTGACAGTGACATACAGTGTTTGTACTCTGAGTTGAAAAGATATCTACAAGTGGTTCAAGATTTTCACAGAAGGTCGAGAAAATGTAAATGACGACAATGAAAATTTTGAGAAAGTGATGAAGATTGTAATGTAATGGAGAATCGGCGATTCCTTTTAGAGAAGTTGTTGAGGATGTCGAGATATCGGTTGGCTCATGCCATGCCACCTGATTACTTGTCATTGCTTGTTCGTAATATTTTGGCCAAAAACATAACCGTAATCATGCTTTAGCCACCGTATCAACCAGACTTGTCCCCTTGCGACTTTTTCTTGTTCCCAAGATTGAAAAGACCCATGAAGGGGGGTGTTTTGCGACGATTAAAGAGATAGACACCGAATCGCCGGTAGAGCTCACGGGCATACCAAAAAGTGCATATTAGAACTGCTCAGAGGATTGGAGTGTATTACATCTGAGGGGGACTTTTGAATGTGCCAGATTAGAGTTTGACGAATAAATAAATTTTTTTTGAGAAAAATTAAAATGCACCCTTAATTTTTTCAACAGACCTCATATACTGATGCAACACGCGTGATGAAGAACGGTTGAGGTTGCGTTGATTTTATTTTACGTAGTCGATCACTTCTAAAGCTGAGGCCGCATTTTTGTTTTGTCTTGTCTTTGGGTAAAGTGAAATTCATACTTGTGAACATAGTTTTGTTTGACAGAATTTTATCAAAGATCATTATTTTAGTTATAAGCTGATGCGATGAAACTGTGAATGCTCCATTCCATTCTTGCATCTTAAGGTGAACATTTTGCTCTAGGATGATAAAAAGGGCGAATTATTAGAAAAAAGTACGAAAAGTGAACTAAAACAACTAGCTGAAACCATCTGTTGAAATCTATTGAAGTGTGTTCTTTCTGCTGTCAGCTGTCACCCCTTACAAATGGTAACCCTCAGAAATATAAACTTGTGATGAGCTGAGTATTGACGAGGTCTTACTTTTTAACGTGCGATTCCTAAGATGAGTTGGACGATACGTAGAGAATAACCATCGTTCGGCCATAGGGCTCAAACAACAGTTCCACATAATGGTATAATAAAAAAGTAGAATGTACCAATCACGGAAACCCAACCATCCAAATTGTACACCGACTGAATCATGGATATTGCTAGCATTCGATAATGGGGTTCTTGTAAAGAATTTTCAGTTCAAGTGATTTCAGTAAAATATAATTCATCAATATTTCAACTTACAGAATGTCATAAATTGATTTGGATGATATTTGACGACATTATATGCTAATCGACTTTTGGAAGTGATAAATATTCCTTTCTTTTGATGAGAAACTTTTTACTGAATTATTCAATGAAGATTTCAGTAGGCGTGAAATTTTAGGATACTATAATTCATGCATTCATTTGTTACTGTCAATAAAATCTTATTTATTGAAAGTAACAGTTTTTATTGTTCGGTTTTCATCTATCGTTGCCCGTCTTGATGATGATGAATTGAGAACTGGAGGTTGAGTCGTCAAAAGTCAATCTGGTGTTGGAAAAATAAATATTCGGGAGTACATTTCTATAGAAAAGGTCTTTACTGTTAAGATTTGTGCTTCATCTGAGACATTACATGGTAAAGTCGAAGTAATTTGTATTGTGAATAGTTAAAGCTATCTGCATCTCAAAGGCCAAACAAACCAATACATAGAAATAATGCCGCTGCTAACTAGTCCACGTGGACTGAAGAATTGGCGGTTCGTATTGGATAATTTTTACTAACCAAGTGTCATGATTGGCTGAAGAGTTATAACATTGAATTTGAAGTCATGTTACTGTGACGAATATAATGTAGGAATGAGTATCGCTGTTGTTTCGTCAGTGTTCAGTTCAGGAACTGATCGCGATTTGAGTGTTGAAATTCGATATTGGTGCAGTTATAATTAATACTTAAAATTTTTGTTATCTGTTTAAAATGTGGCGTCCTTGAACAAGTATGAATATCTGAATATGTATATCTATTTATTGATCCTTTAGGTAACAAACAGAGCAATACAGATAGGATAAGTGATGATAAGTAATGATAAGTAATGATAAGTAATGATGAAGTACTAATAGTAATAACGAGTGTGATAACAACGCAGACTTTTTCCAGTGTAGTGATTCCAATAGCGATTCCAATGTGAAAAAGAGATATATAACAAATCATTCATTGAGGGAGGTTATGTTCTTCATTTGAGGTGAATCATTGCAATTGAATTCTGTTTTAACCCCAAGTATTAGAACAATTTCGATCGTTCAAGGTAATTCTTCGGGAAGTATTTCTTATAACGAACAATTTCCTAAGTCTTTCATACCAACTAATGATATATCATTCACCTGAAACACGTATATCCCAAAACTTCACAATATATGTAAGATTACATTACATTATTCATTATTCAGAACACTTAAGGTTGTTTCAGCATTTACATGTTGAATATTTGAGTTCTAAATAACTCGTTCAGATAGAATCCATCAATAATTCGATGAAATTTAAACTTTGTTGGCGTAGTTGGTAATTTATTCGACGATGATTATGGGGAGAATTTGAAAAGACTTACCGGTATGAATATAGGTGTGTTTCTTCATGTCAGATTTCTGATGAAACCTTTTTCCACAATACTGACAGGGGTAAGGCCTCGTATCCGAATGAATGAGTAGGTGGGTGGAGAGGGTGGAGGAACGTTTGAAAGATTTTCCGCACTGCTGACACTGAAACAATAATATGCATGCAAAACCATTTTTCATCGAGACGAAAATATCATGTGAACAGAGCTGAAAAAGGTACTTACAATTTTTTTGAGGTTGAGACGTCATTATTTTATAAAAAATCGTGAAGAATGAGAAAAATATTGAAATTATGTGTACATACATAAGTAGTTTAAATGTAACAAGAGTCCAATATTTAAAATTTTCATGAAGAGTCAGAAAAGGATAAAACTGTTATTATATTTATGAATAATTGATTTTTGAATTTGAGGACGCATAATGACAGGAATCACATGCCATTTGAAAACACTTTCTGTGCTTGCCAACCGTGATGCCAACTTTCATCCTATAAGGAAGAAATTGAATACCTCCGGCCATAACGTGAGCTGCTGTGACAA